TTTGTATAAGCCAATTACAATCGACGGGTGTGGCGAATAAGGGTAATACAGGAAGATAATCAGTCTTCAAATCTATGATCGTACACGTGGGCAGTATGGATCGTATTGGTTATTAATTGAGATCTGAGTAGCATTAGTCAAGCAAAGAGATAAAAGTTCGATGTGGTTCTCAATGGTATGACTCAACATTCAAATCCAAATTAGAGAGGAAGCTTACTTGACAAGTGTGAATGCCATAGTGGATGCTAATTATAAGCAAATAGATGCAAGAGATGGGTAGCGTGTCACGGGTTGGGAATATGCACAGTTCGGATGGTCTGCCACTTGAGAGTTAAATAGCAAGAAGGCCCTAGAAAAAAAGCCCAGCTCAGATCCAAAAAACCAGTCCTATTTTACTTTAATTTCCTTCTAGTTTTACATTTTCCTGTTCTTTTACATTTCTGTACTTAAAATTCTTGCAGCTGGGCACTTCGTTCATCAAGGAGTGTTTCAAGTGATTGTATGCTGTAAACCTCTACCGAGCTCGAGTTTGGATATTTGTCAGTTTTATTTTTCATTTTAAGTGAATTGCTTTCAATTGATTCTTCATTTAATTAGTTTATTTGTTTAATTTTCCCTAAATCAAGCCACCAGTAACGTCTTCTTCCATTGAGCTGAAAAGAACTAAAAACACAATCGTCTGAATCAATTGTTAGCAATGTTATTTTCTTAAGGGACTGATTGATCCTTGATGGCACGCTCTATAATTGACAAAGTAACCTTCGAGAAGCCAAAGGCAACATATTATTTTGGGTCGCCCAGTGGGACTTAATTGAAAAATGGCTAGACGTGGGAGACAAGGGAAAATGAACGCCTGGAAGAAGGCGTAGAGAAGAGAGGTAGGAAAATACCTATCCCAGAGGAATGTGATAAAACACCGTGAGAGCACCAATTCTATTCAGAACAATCATGGTCGAACAGACACCCATCCTTCGGAACAAGTACCAACATGTTTCGTAACATTAGGACGAGACCCAAGGATTGGACCACATGTTTCATCTACTCAGCCAAAAATTCATGGGGTGGGCTAGGTAGATGCCATGTGGACAGCAGTATAAAGAACACTGATGGAATGGTGGGCACATCCTTTTTTGATGAATGAATAAGCACCACCACTAACAAACGCAAGACCGACAGTGGAGGAGTTGTTTCAAATGTCCTAGCAAATGATTGGCTAGAGATTAAACAGCCTTTCATGACATTCATGTAGGGATTCAATTTTAATTGACAAAAGATCACTACTAAGTACTTGTCAAAACTATCGAGACAGTCGTCACAACCTCAGTACTATCGTCGAACCATTTGCAATTGGCTGATAGGCCCGAGTCAGATGCTTAAGAATGGCCTCATACTAATCCAGTAGTGAGCCATAGCAATCTGCGTGGTAAACTTCCACAAGAGAAATGGCGTTACACAATGCTCCAATATCTGATTTAAGCTCATACCCATTAGGGGGTTGAAGATATTCCTTACAGAATTGTGCCCAGTGGTCGAGTTCACAATGAAAGCACCTCTTATTCCGCACCTTTCGCGAGGTCCTTTTCGGACAGGCTCAGAAAGGGAGTTACCCACACCGCCCAATAACAAACCCTGAGACCACAGGGAAACCAGTCCAAATTATGACCACCTTTATGAGAACCAGAGGACCAACGGCCAAGGGTTGTCCTCCAATCTGTCGTTTTGTCCCTCTATGTAGCGGGTATCAGCGGGAGCAAAAATAGGTCCCTTTGGGACCAAATTTGCGATGTAATTGTTAGAGAGAATTGTGATGATCAATGGCATCCGGGCGGGTTCCAGACTCTTGTGATAGCGGAAAACCGTAACCCGGAAATGGTAGATAATGGTTAACATGAATCACTCAGAGGTTTCAGAATACCAATTTCGGCCTCTTATTTAGGGAATGATAAGACCAGTTCACTAGTGGAGCATATATGTGTGCTAATAGTATTATTTGATCTGCCATGCGGTGGAATTCACTATAATGACTATATGATGTAGATTATTATCAATTCTCTAAGTCGACGGAGAGCATATTTGGTATGGTATATTTAACCTTTTAACCTGCTCTATCCAAACTTGCCAAGCAAATGAATGGGACATTTCAGTGCCCAATTCTTTGCATGAGACAGAGGTTTCATGTGCAGACTTGGCAAGATTGAGTCAAGGACCTTGCATCGAGAAGCTACTCAGTTTATTTCCAGATTTAAAAGAGCGATGAAACAAATGTAGGTCTATCCCTGCCATGAAGCCAGATTCCATGGTTGGGCTCAAAATGGCTTAGAGTTTAGGTACTTCGAAAGAAGTGACTCCGACTGAGTTTCAGAAATCTTAGTGTGGACTAACTTATAAGAGGCGTCTAGGTATGAAGCATACTAGAGGAGACAAGATGAATATAATGCATCGTTACAAGACATATTGATAGAGCACTCTAATTAATGAGATTGATGCAGCAGAGATTGCTGGGGAAAACTTATGATCTGTGAGGCATTAATTGAAAGTGATACAACATTGACTAGCAGTTTAAAAAGAAAAGACTTTCATAGGCAATACTACTTTTCGATTTAACCTACGGAGATGACTTTTTACGGATTTTTGCTTGTGGCCAACTTCCCTTATGTTACCAAAAGGAGTCCAAAATTCCCTCTCCAAGTATGAACTTTGAAAGGAACAAGTATTATTGTAAATGGCATAATTCTTTGGTCTGACTCGATCATACCTTTAGTCTGTCAAAGGGTAGTGGCGACTGCCTAGAAGGCTGGACTTCAGAGGGAGGTCTAATTTGGACCTCCTCCCAGCGATCTGGATCTTACTGTTATCTGACCATATTTTGCGGTGAGTGTTTTTTTTTTGGTAGAATTACGACAATTTGTGATTCAGAAATGAAATTACACTTTTTGTACTAATATTACCAATTTTTGTGGTAATGTTACCAAAAAAAAAAAATTAGAAAATATTTAGATTAAAAAAAAAAGTGTAATATCACCACAAAAATACATTATATCACCACAAAATGCATAACTTTATGTATGAAATACAAATTATCATAACCCTATCAAAAAATTAAATAACGTTTATTATAAAAATATATAATATATACAACAAAAAAATAAATAACAAGTGTATAAGGTGTGTACCATATAATTTCTCCACATTGCACCTCCCTAATTTCGTACAACTTTTTAACAATCAAATCAATAACAATTTGATCATGCCTCTTTTAACTTTGCTCTAGCACCTTATTTAATTTTAAACTAGTCTATTTTCACTAGTGAAAATAATATTTTTGTAATCATTAGATTGTTATGCACTACCTAAGCTTACCTAATTTTGAACTACTCATCTTTTGAATGTGCACCATTACATTGTCATGCACTTCCTAACTATGTTATTGAATGCCTGCCTATGTGTCCTTCAATCCTATTATTAATTTATTATATATACAATACCTATATAGAATGATTTCAGTCCCATACATTTCCTCCTTAATCTTCTGCATGCAACTAGTTATGGCTTCTTTGAATCTATTTACAGTTGTTATGTTAGTGCTTTCGTCGTTGAATTCGATCTTTCCATCCATTTTTTTCTCTTGGGTTAATCAACTCTTCCTTTCCACCACCTTCACCTTCACCTTCACCTTCACCCTTACCCTCCTCACCTTCAGCTTCGCCTTCTCCTCTTAAAGATGATGATATTGGTTTTGTAGCACGCCTGATCCATCGCACCTCCCCTCAATCTCCCTTTTACAATCCTCTTGCAAATCAGGAGGACTTGATGGCTAAATACATTCACATTTCACAACAACGCAGTATGTACTTTAGTCAACTCACCACCATCACCAAGGGAGAAACAAACATGATGGTGAGAGCACCCATGATGAGCAACAATTTCTTAATGAAATTTAGCATTGGCACCCCACCACAGCAAACATTTGCAGTTCCTGATACGGGCAGTAGTCTAATCTGGATGCAATGTTCGCCTTTTTTTTTTTTTTTTTTTTTTTTTACAAGAGAGAACTTTATTGATGACAAAAACATACAAATACATATGAGATGAACATCAATAAAGAGGTGGAAGAGCAAAAGCGCATCAAAGCTAACAAACTCAATCCCAACTAAGTTGGCACCGAGAAGAAAGCCCAATAATCTACGAGCTCAACCACAAAGGGATGGTGAGAGACCATGCCCAGAAAAAAATAAAAACCCCAAAAACTCAACCCCCAAATCAAACCCACAACTCATTCCACACAATACATACCCACACAATTCAGACCACACAATTCACCTGCAGAATCACCCATAAGCAAAACACCAGACCAGAAGAACACCCCCAATGCCTTACAGCCCCTAGACATCCAATACCCCACTTCACAATAGGCTCAAACCACCATTTTTAGGACTAAAAAATAGAGGTTTTTACAGTTGAAAACTAGGCCAAAAATAGTGCAAAAAGATGGCAAAACAAGTTATGTAAAACAAGTTTTAAAGGTAAGTCTTATACCTCTTGAAGCCAAGCACACTTTAGGCACAAACGAGGCACCATATAATCACCACCCAGCAAAAGTAAAAGATTCCTCAGCAATGAATCTGGTACTCAGTGTTTTATCTGCATAGGACAAGTTATATTGGCAAATTGATTTTTCTAAGCAAGTCAAGTACTTTAGACATTCGCAGTAAAAATTTGCACAAAGTTGTTGTCTGAAGGTTGATGATTTTGCTCGTTTATAAATTGGTGCGATCCGATTCTGATTGTAGCACTTATCACAAGGCGAACACAACATATTGCAATGTTTGCCTTTTGATAAGTGCTACAATCCGAATCGGATCGCACCAATTTATAACCGAGCAAAATCATCAACCTTCAGATAACAACTTTGTGTAAATTTTTACTACGGAGGTCTAAAGTACTTGACTTGCTTAGAAAAATCAATTTGCCAATGTAACTTGTCCTACGTGGATAAAACAATGAGTACCAGATTCATTGCTGAGGAATCTTTTACTTTTGAAGCAAATGATTTTATTGAAAGAACCACACTCGAAAATATAGACTTCGGTTGTGGGACAAGGAACATAGATGGCTCAGGGTTAGGCGTTCCAGGCATTATAGGTTTGGGTAATGATCGCGTCTCGGTAATTCGACAGCTGAATTATCCTTACTTCTCTTACTGTGTGACAAATGTGTGACGGATGAACGAATCAATCCTCGAGGATGGATTCACTTTGGTTCATCAGTTGGGGCGGTCAACGCCAATTACGACCCATACTAGTTTTTACTACTTATCCATTGAAGGTATTACTGTCGGTGGGGAGGACGAGGAAGTAAATCTACCAAAAGAATTTTTTGACTATGGTTTTGTCATTGACTCTGGGAGTATTTATACAGCACTCTACAATGGTGCATTCGATGCATTAATTGAAAAAGTGAAGTCAATGTATGATGATGAAGCGGAGAAATTTGGTAATTATGAATTATGCTATGAAGAGATTTCTGATGTACCAGAAATAGTGTTCAAGTTTAAGGACTTGGACTTTAGGCTACGCGACCAAAACACCTGGCTACGTGCTCCTAATGGATTCTTATGTTTGGCAATGTTTAGGGCGAACGAAACTTCTATTTTCGGAATGCACCAACAGAGGGGAGTAAATGTCGGCTTTGATTTGAGATATGAAAAGCTTAGCTTGAAGTATGCAAATTCTTGTCCAGACGACGACCAGGAGGATTGATTCTCAAACATAAATATACTAATTTGGAATGCTGTCTGTCTTTTTATATATATTTATATAGGTATGAACACATGGGTTTTGCAATACACTATTATGTCATTTAATTAATGAAATTCTGAATTTATATTGCAGTCAGATTATACAGGCAAAAGTCTTCAATTAGATTTCTTTTTGCAGAACACTCTGTTTTCTTGTTTTCTTTTTCTTCTTTTGCTGTCTGTGTTGTTTCTGTTGCCCAGCGGATGCCTTGAATTTGTTTATTGCCTCACTGAACTGTCATTTATGCAGAATGCTCTCTTCTTCTTCTTCTTCTTCTTCTTCTTCTTCTTGGCTGTTAGCCCACGTTGATAGTGGGTACATACTTTTGGCCTAGCTAGGTTGGGCAATTTTAGTTGATCCATTCAGTTGGAGAAAAGTTGTATGGCTTCTTCCTCAAGTGCTGCTGCTGCAACAAAATTAGTAGTAGTGGTTGGGGTGTTGTTACTCGTACCCTCGATGGCAGTCCTTGGCGATGAGGAGTTCCTGATGCCATTGGAACGGTGCATTCGGAGCCACTTTGATCCAATACCACCCCCATCTGACGACCCAGAAGGAGACAAGTATATGGCCGCATTGCATTGCAAGATTTGTTCTGCAATTTATCGCTTTGTTTTCCACTATGGCCGCGTCCTAAGAGCATCTCCAATGATATTAGGCATTTTACCTATCTAAATATTACTATAAAGTATACATTTTATTTTGCCTATCAACGATTTCATGTTTGTGCCCCAACCATGCTCTTTATTTTAGCTATTCATCCAAATACTATTAACTTTATAGAATGCCACGTCAGCAACAAAGATGGAGGGAAATAATCTTACACCTGATGAAACGTTACCGCCCTTAAAAAGGTGCCCTATTTGAAGAACAACCAATTTGGCCTCAATTACTATCTTAATCTTGATCATCCTGTATCATATTGTAAGTTCCCTGGTTGGACCTGGTATAACTTCAGTAAATATAAGTATTTGAAAAGTAAAGACCTAATATGAGAAATTAAATAACATTATTATTATTATTATTATTGAATTTATGCTCTCAATTTCTTTTCTTTTTATTTTTTTTAGTGATAGTAATAATCTTACACATATTAATGTGTACTATTTGGGCATCATTTTTTGTGATGATCTTACACATTGTTCAATACTTATTTTGAGATTTTGAACATTTTACATAATACGATTCATTATATATATATAAACGATACAATTTTACTCATATTGTTTCATTTATATTTTTTTTACTCATTCTTAAATCCTATGCTAGTTGTTTGATGAATTGAGACAAAGCACTTAAAATTTAATTTTCATCATCGTGTTTCATATTGCAATTGCAAGTTCTTGATTGGATATTGTATGACTTCAATAAATACAGCTTTTGAACAACTTCTGCTCCATAGTTTTGATTCTATTGCCCAGCTAATGCCTTGTATCTGTTTGCCTCACTGAACTGCCCTTCATGCAGATGCTCTCTTCTTCTTCTTCTTGGCTGTTAGCCCACGTTGATAATCGATACAATATTTGGATAAACTACTAATAGTTTTCTTATAGTTAGACTTAATTTCTATCAAGTTCTATTAAAAATAAATTTTAATAAAATTGTTATTAAAAATAATTTTTTGTAACGATTTTTTGCATATATCACTAAAAATTGTCAATTAGTGACTTTTTTTGTTACGGTTTTTATAAATTGTCACTAGAACTTAAAATTAGTGATATTTTTCTGTAACGAATCTTTTAAATTGTTATTGAAAGTTAAAAATTAGTAATATTTTTTTGCAACGATTTTTTTAAACTGTCGCTAAAACTTATAATTAGTGACGTTTTTGTGACAACTTTTAAACTGTTACTGAAAATTAACAATTAATAATCTTTTATAATAGTGTTTGATAAAAAAATATCATTAATTATTATAGAACCTATTAAATAATAAATTCACCTATTAGAGTTTACACGCAAATCTCATAAATGCTTTTGGTTGGCCAATTTTGTGGTCTCATTCAAGTCTATTGTGGTGGTTTGGTTTCCTGTAAATTGCTTCATTATTTATTTATGAGATTTTACCCTATAGGTTTACCAGCTCATGTGGTTAGCTTTAGATGGCTTAGTGTTTGGTCTTGATATGGAGTTACTGGTCGATGTGGACACCTTAGGTGGCTTACTGTTTGCCCTTGACATCAACTCTTCTAGTAAGGTAATTTGAGAAGGGAGAGGGAAAAAAAAAAAATCAAATTTAATGGTACAAGCATAATAAATAAATAACAAAAATTAATTTTAAAATTAAATAATAATATAAATTTTATTTTAAATGTACGGGAAAATTAATTTTGAGTCATTAAATTTTAGCCATTTTATTAGAATTACACTTTTGTTGTTAGGTTCTAATCTTTATAAGAAACTAGTTGCATAGGCGTCGCACGATTAGCCATGCTCATGTTAAGGGGGGATACTTGCATAGGCGTCGAGCTTCGCACGATTAGCCATGCCTGTGATAAGAGAAAAAAATTGAATTGTTAAACTTCTAAAGCTTAACAAATCACACCAAGACCATTCTCAGCTACTAATTTGGTCAAATTTCAAGGATTATGTACTAATCAAAACTCTAAAAGCAAAATACAGAACCATTGAATTATCCATAACTACATTGCATGGTTTAATTATTCGAGACTTGAAACTATTGTTTTTCCTCATAATCTAGAAATATTTTTTTTCCAACAACTTAAACAGCCATTTATTTTTTCCACTAAAATGAAACTGAGGCAACAGAGAGCTTCAAATATAGCACATTTACTCAAAATAATACACCACAAATAGTTTTAAGTACACCATATACATGAACATCAATTATCAAATCAGCTCCACATATGCTCGTTTTAAGAGTTTGGCTAGAAAGAAAACAGAGTTTAATAAGGGAATATGATTATATCTAAAGCAATAACACCAACAATATTTGTAACGATCCCAATATGCATATTAGGATTATATTTATTTAATTATGTATTAATTATTAATTGTGATATGTGCCATGACATTAAATTGAGTATATCTGTTCAATTTGAAATTATCTGTTGTGATTTCTTCTCTGAATCTGAAATTGAAGGCCTTAATAATGTTAGAAACCGAAATTGGCTATATGAATAGTCTAATTGAAATTTTTAGAACCCTATGGCAAGCTTAATTAAAAATTGATTCAGTTTAATTAATTAAGTTATGTTTAATTAGTCTGATGTTCTAATTATTGTATTAAACCATTCTAACTATATATATGAGCCTTAAGCTCATTCTTGAGCTCAACATGTTTTGTTCTCGAGTGCACAATCTAAGGAAGAGCTCTAGAGAGAGAACTCACATTCTAGAGAGAGAAAGTGTAAGATTGAAGGAAACTTGAAGAGTTACCTTGATTTGATCAAGATTGTGCTAGATTGGTGTGTTTGAAACCTCTAGGTAAGCATTTATGTCACACCCCACTTTTTATATCAACGGATACCATTACCAAATCTTTTATTATAACACAATTTCAGAGATCACGTGCAGAATTTTAATACAATAACGAATATTATTATTAAAGGTTCTCTCATTCAAATATGAAATGAAGGCAACATGAAATAAAAATAAATAAATAGCCCATAGGGTTATATCTTTTAAATTAAAAAAAAAAGGGTTTAATCCTTTTACATCAATGGCATTTCGCCTACAAATAAAAGGTCCTTAGGCCAACACATAAAGAAAATCCTCGATCTTGAAACCCTTCTTGATGTTCACCTGAAAAAGGATTAGCAACGTGGAATGAACATAAAGTTCAGTAGGGATCCCAATATGATCCTAAACAATAACAACATACAGATAGCTATGATCATGAATGCTTTAAATCATATCATATACATAATGTGACGGTTTATACAGAAATATACTTATATAGGAACTTTTCTTAAAATAATTCATTTCGTTCAACAATACAAGCAATTTATCTTTCTTTCTTCTTATTACATTTTTTTTCCAAAAGTCATATGTCAATAACAAATTTCTAAAAAACAATTTCACAAGCCCATAATGTGTCTTCCACCTTCCGGTCTTACACCTGGTTTGCCTTTTTGAAACATGTTCACAAATATCCGATGTCCTTCACATTATTCACAATCTCAATACAATACTTACGTACGTTTCCAACACATTCATGTCTGTACACATATACCTCTAATACAAAAGGAAAACAATAAGTAACTAGCAACTATCTACTCAACAAACAAGGCAACTCAACCTTCCAAAACCATAACCATCATAACCTATAGCATACACAGATACATTGAGACAATAATGATAAATAAGTTCTGCTCTAACTGCCTTAAGCACGGTAAGCCAAGGATATACATTTCCATAACAAAATGCAAAGCCAAGGATACACCTTTTCATAACGAAATGCCAATTTACCAGACATCGGCTGAAAGGTAATGGTACCTCTCATTCTAAGTACGACAAATTCTCCAAGCATTAGCTGGAAGGTAATGGTACCTCTCATTCGAAGCGCAAGCACATTTCCAACCATCTCAACGTCCCAGAATGCATAATAACACAGTGTAATACATACACGATATTATTCAACACAACGATGTTATCCTCTACCAATGACCAAGGACAAAACCTCTAAGCAAAGATATTAAATACTCGTAAGACAACGATCCAATTCTCGCAAGACTTTCAGTCCAATAACAATGATAATATGTAAAGGTTCCAAAATCCGACCTCAAGTTCATTATCAATTTACAAAGGGTGATGATTTCATTTTCTTTCAAAAAGACCACTTTTCTTTATTTTCCAATCCACACAACTCCAACTATTTTCCAAAAATTCATTCTCGTCATTTTATGTAACGCCCTCAAAATAAACCCATAATATATAACATTAACATGCATTAATAAATTAAAACAAGTGTCATTAAATTATCCATCAGAGTACTATTATTGA